ATTTCTCAACATATGGAGAACCAGGTTCCACAATTAAACCACTTCCTACAGAACCAATAAATGCTGGCATATATTTCGCAAGTTTTCGCTCTTTATAAAATCGAGCAAACCAATCTATACGTGACAATTTTGCAATACAAGTTACATTCTTATAATAATGAATATTTTCAAGACATATATCGTGTTCAATTATTCGACCATTTTGCACCCAAACTTTCACATCATTTCGATTTAGAACTGCGGGCATCATATTTGCAATATTTTTTTCAGCACTAAATTGAAGACCACTTTTCATTAAATCAGTAAGGGTATTCATTTCCATTTCTTCTTGTAATCGAAAATTAAAATCAGTCAACGATGCTAAAAAGCTGAAGGAATAATAAAAATTCAAAATTAAGAAGCATCCAAAAATAATTCGTTCCCTTAAATTTTTAGGTTCATTTTCTACAGCAACTCCAAATAATATTTGAATAATCATCAACCAATTCCAAATTTTTTGATCAAATTTAAAAGCTTTCACAATTATCCAGCTTGTGATTGTCATCAAAAGTGTCAACAAAATTGAATAGTAAAATGTCTTTCCAATTATTATAATTGACAAATCGTTTGACATCAATATGGGAGTAACTGCGACAATGTGATCTAGAGCAAAAATTGGATTCTCAAACACATCTTTTTTGCACACACTTCTTGTTGTTATTGTCGTTACACCAATGTACTGAACTTTATGTTTTTCAGTCGCTGAGAGAAAACCTGTCAATTCATTTACATTACAAGAAAATTTACCAAAACTATCATCATTTGATGGAATCAATATTTGTTTGTAATTCATCATTTTAGCGAAAAAATTTCCCATTTCAGCATCTGGACCCGAGACATTAACAGGATGATTTGTCGAATTTCGTTTTAATGTCACAAATGGTGGTCGATTAAAGATCGCAACATTTATTGGATATCCATTTAGATTTCGTAACTTGTCAGGAAACAATGGCGTTTTTTTCGAAAACAATTTTGATTTGTATGAAACAAATGGATTTAGCTGATGAATCGTGACGTGATGTTCTTTAATAACATCAAGAACAGTGACGTCAAGGAATAAATTTTGCCACATCTTTTGTAGAAATTTACCATAATCGGATGTTTCATCAGAATTGAAAAAGCGAATAATTAGACATTTTGGTCGAATACGAACGGTTGACAATTTTTTAACGAATTCCATCACTTCTTCAATCCATTGAGTGTTTTTTTTGCCTTGAGATTCGATAATGAGAAACAAAGTAGTGTCTCGTGGATTTTTCAAAGAATTCCATGTCTGAAGATGGTGAATTTTTCGTTTTGAATAAGAGCCATTGAAATACAAAATCGGCAGATTTTCTTGCAGATTTTGAATTATTTCGCAATGCTCACGATTTGTATCAGTTATCAACATGATCTGGTAAATTTTTGGATCTTTTTTTATTTTCCTTACGACTCTTTGAGACCATTTTGACTGCCTTTTTTGTTTCTTTTGTATTATTTCGGAACTATTCACATAATTCTTTTGGATAATTTCAAAAACTAACAGAACAATTAATAGTAGAAAATTAATTTCTAGCTTCATGATCTGTTGCTGAAAAAAAGGTAAAAATAACATTAAATCAAAAAAGCTATAGAGGATTTAATTTTTTAAACCAATGTTTCTTATTTTATTTTTGAAAATTGGAAAACCCAAAAAATATAAATTGTCAAATCACCTTTTATTTAGCATTTTTTCCTTGTCGCTTTACTGTTTCACGTTTGTACAAACATTGTTGCTTCAAGTTGTATTTTGGTTATTTCTTTTTCTGTGTATTTTTTCTTTTTTTTTCTTAGAAGGCGACAATTACAAAAATAAAATAATTTCTTTCTCTATCTATTGATTTATCAGAGGTCAAGTTTGATGTTTACTGATAGAAAAAAGTGCTCTTAGCAGAAAAAAAATTTCAACTTTATTTTCAAATTTTTTTTATATTGGCTCTTCCACTAAATTTTTACAATTTGTATTTCTATTCCTAGCTTCCACTTGCCAAATACTATTTCAATAACAAATGAAAGAATCGATACCAAATATTCAGTAATCAGTAAGGCAATCAGTATAACGATTCAACCATTCATTCATCATTACTCTCATCCAATTTCTCCAAATAATGCAAATTCCATAAATGATGTGTGTAGTTTTTAAAAATTTATCAACATAAATAGATTCAGGTTCCAAAATCTGGTACTTAATTTTATGAGATAGCCCTCACAGCACCAGATATCCTAGGATATTCCAAAAACATCCCTTGGATATCCTAGGGATACCCCAGGGATATCCTAAGGATGCTTTAAGAATATCCAAAGTAGCGGCGGTTAGGATATCCTAGGGATATTCCAGGGATATCAAAGGATGTCCCTAAGACGTCCTAGGGATATCCTAATCATTTCCCCGGATATTATTAGGATATCCTGTGGATATCCTTAGAACGTCCCAAGGATATCCAAAGTAACGGCGGTTAGGATATCCTAGGGACATCCCAGGGATATCAAAGGATGTCCCTAGGACGTCCCAGGGATATCCTAATCATTTCCCCGGATATTATTAGGATATCCTGTCGATATCCTTAGAACGTCCCAAGGATATTCTCAGGACGTCCTAAGGATATCCCAAGGATATCCCTGGAATAATTAGGGATGTCCTTAGGACGTCCTAAGGATATCCACAGTATGTCTATATTATCTTAAGGGTTAGAATATCCTTGAGTCATTCTAAAAATGTCTCTAAGTTATCCATTAAACGACCCTAACATACAAATTAATTAAATAAAAATGGAAAACATATTTTTTGGATGTATTTATAATGTATTATCAAGATATCTAAAATGTACTTTCGGTGCGTGTGTTAGAAGAAAAATTTTTCATTCGGTCAGTCCCATAAAAAATGAATTTAAAGTGTCGAAAATCGCATTTTTGGCTTAAATATATATGCTCTTATTATCAACTTTAAGGCCCAGATTTGAAAGATGATTGACAATCACGGGAAACCTATTTGTATTAAAAAATCGCTATCTCAAATAATCAAAATTTGAATCATAATGATATCCTAGGGAGATCTTAGCGATATTTCTAGAATATTTTAACGATATACCAAGTTTATCCCAAGAATATCCCCACGATATCACTAGTATATCCCTGGAATATCCCAGGGATATCCTCAGTATATCCCCAGGATATCCCAAAAATATCCTATGTAACGGCGGTTTGGATGTTCTGAGGATATCCTCAGGATATCACTAGTATATCCCTGGAATATCCCAGGGATATCCCTAGAATATCCTCAGTATATCCCCAGGATATCCCAAAAATATCCTACGTAACGGCGGTTTGGATGTTCTGAGGATATCCTCAGGATATCCTAGGATATCCTATGGACGTTTTCAGGATATCCTACATTAGTTTAGGATATCCTCAGGATATCCTAGGATGTCCTATGGACGTTTTTAGGATATCCTACATTAGTTTAGGATATCCTCAGGATATCCTTTTGTTGTGAGGGAGTAGACCAGTTAATTTATCAACTGTACAACCATAATTACCAAAATCTTTATGACTTGATGGTACAAAAATTCTTGTTTGTAATTTGCCATATGGGTGATTCTTTCAAAAAGGACAAATTACGCTTTTAAGATATTTTGTTAAAAATATGAAAATTAATTGAAATTATTTAAAATTCTGTCAGCCATACGTTAGGATTTAACAATTTTCAATCGGACCACTAAAGAAAATTTTAAAAAAAGGTAAAATAACTGAAATATTGAATAAAAACTGATGTTACGGAATGGAGTTACGGAATGGAGTTTTAACACTAGTTTTCATTCAATAATTCAGTTGTTTGACATTTTTTTGAAATTTTCTTTAGTGATTCCATAAAAATTTGTTGAATTTTATCGTATGGCTGGGAGAATGTTTATTAATTGAAATTAATGTTATTATTTTTTAACAAAAACCTCGTCCAAAATTGTGCACAAATAATTTGTTTTTTTTGAGAGAATCACCCATATAATTTCTTTTTTTCCATTTTGGATTTTATTTCTGTCTGGAGGATTCGATTGTTGTATCTCGTGGATTAGTCAAAGAATTCCGTTTCTGAAGATGTTGAATTTATCTTTTTTGAATAAAAAAAAAATACAGCACTATCTACGACAATTTTTTTCTTTTGAATAATTTTAGATAATTCTTTTTGGCTAATTTCAAATTTCGCAACAACGCAATGAAAAGCAGAAAAATAATTTATCATTGTCTGTGTTTCTGTTAGGAAATTTTCATTAGAATTTTCGCTTTTGTAATTTTGGGGGGAAATTAAAAAAAGGGTTTTTTAAATTTTTGACATCTAGTTTTTGCAGATTTTTATATCTGATGTACAACATTTGCACCACATTAAATTAAATTCTGATTTAGAATTTTTATGTATTCGTTTATCTTAGTGGCAACGATATTATTGAAAAACAATAAAATTTTATTTTTCTATTGATTTACCCCATAGAGGTCAAATTTAATGATAAGTATTTAAAAAAAAAAAAAAATTTCTTTCTAATCCTTTTGTTGTTCTGAAATTATTTTTTGGAATCAATTCGTATTCCCTTTTTCCTTCGTATTCCTCCCAAAAATAATACAAGAAAATTCTATTTGTCCCAACCTAAGGCAATTTTACCCCGAATCTCAATTCGAAATTGAAAAATAAAAATTGTTTCAACTATGAAAAAATTTCAAAATGAAAATCGAATTAAAAAGATTTTAATTGGTTGTGATAAAAAATAGATTTATCAGAATAGGATGCGATGCGGTTTTGACATCCTGCGGACGTTAGGATTTCTTTCTTTTTCTCTCTCAAAGTGTCCGGTCCTTTTTCTCGCGACACGACCTGCTCTTGCAAAATATATATATATATTTCCCATGAAAAGCGCCTGCGTCAAATCCCGGATTCATTTGTCGAGAATCCTCGCAGCATCCAGTGTAGCTCTGTTCTTAGAGTTACTCGCGTCGGATATTTCTTTTTTTGTTTTCACTATTCGAGACGGCGAGGGTTGAAATTTTCAATTCCTCGTTAAAAAAAAAAAAAAAAACTCCTATATATAAATTTTCAAATGCAATTGTAACTTTTTTTTATTTTTTTGATATAAAAAATGTAGTCGCAGGGAAATATTTCTTTTTTTCTCCATAACATCAGTGAGAATATAAGTCATCGCTCACCTAGAAAAGGATTTCCTTTTTTTTTCCTTTTCTTCAATGCGTCCCGAGAATATTATTTTTCAATGTGATTTTCACTTTCTTTTTTTTGGGTATTATTTTTTTTCTCGATAGATAAAATGTGAATCTTTGAGGTAAATGACAAAAAAAAATGTAAAATATAGAATTTAAAATTATTGTAATTATTATAATTATATTATATAAATTTAGAATTATGTCAAAAAAAAGATTCAGAAATTAAAATTTCTTTAGAATCACAAAAAAATATGTTTTTTTATTCTTTAGTTATAGTTAATAATAAAAAAAAATATAATACGTTTACATTAATTAATGGAACATTGACTAAATAATAATAATAATTATTATTGTTATTATAATTATAATAATTACGGTACAAATAGTAACAATAACAGTAACAAAAAAAAAAAAAATTGTTATCGTTTCTCATTAAATTAAGTTACGTATTATATTAACATAATACGTAATTTAAATATTAGAATTTATTTTATAAAAAATGTTATTAAAACACGATTTTAACAAAAAAAAAAAAAAATCTAATTACAAAACAGGTTCAGTGTACGGGTAAAATTTGAACAATGAATAGTGGTGAATCGAGAGTGACCTTGACGTATAGGACATCGTCAATTCTGGACTTAAAAAGTTTATAATTAAAGCCAATAAAAGGTGTTTAATAAAAAAAAAAAAGAAGAAAAAGAGGAGGAACCCTAAGGGGGGGAAGGGGGAAAGTGAATCTCGGCCTTTTAAAAAAAGGCCGAGAGGTGTTCCAAGTGCAAAATGAGGTCGAACCCTTACGACTTATCGTGTCGCAATTTCTTTACTCTTATCTACATCATCTGTACTCTATGTGCAGGTAAATATTTTTATTTTTTTTTTTAAATAACTTTTTTTTCCATTGAAATTTTATATATATATATCAATAATAAATTAATAATTATATATATTATAATAAAATTTTATATTATTATTATATATTATTATATATTATTATTATAATTATATTATTATATTAATAATAATAATAATAATAATAATAATAATAATTATTATTATTATTATTATTATTATTATATTATTATTTTGTTTAATATTATATAATAATTAATACGTAAATGTTAATTAATATAATTAATAATTATAATAACTTATAATAATATGGTAATTATTGTAATATAATTACTTAATTAATAAATAATTTATATTATATAATAATATTTCTATAATTAGTACCACTATTTGTTTTGAAATTAAAATAATAATTATTAAAATAACAAAGTAGGTAACAACATAATAATAAATCTTATTAATATTTATTTATTTTAAAACAAAATTAAATATGTTTTAATAATTAATTATTATGTAATTATTGATAAAGAAATGTTACAAATTATTATATAAATAAATCTCACGTAAAAAAGGAATTGAATATTAATAAGTAGAAATATGAAAATTCAAATAAATAATTATAACCTTTAATTCTATATCCAGATTGTATGAACAAAAAAAAAAATTACATGCGAAGTCAAATTGAATATTCATAAATGTATAAGAATGAAATTATTTTAAATAATACATAATTATAAATAATTATATGGAATTTTTATATGATTTATGTATTATACTTTCTTTTTTCTTATTTTTTTTTTGAAAAGAAGGGCGCGTAAGTTTATTTTTTAAATTTTTATTTACTTTAATAGAAAATCGATTTAGTTGCCCTTAGAGTGCGAATTTAAATTCCACACGTGAGAGATTTCCAGAAGCAATATAGGGTTTTTTTTCCCTACATTTCTGGATCAGTGACTATAAAATTTCATGTTATTATTATAATTTTTTTTTCTTTTTTTTTTTTGTTTAAAAAATGACCGTGAAATTTTCTTCATAGGTTGCTATATATAACATCGATTCACAATTTCAAGGTTTTCAATAATTTATAATATATATATATATATATATATATATATATATATATATTGATAGAAAGTTATTCTTAATTTTATAAATACAAAAGATGAGTTTGAATAATTTTATAATTTATAATTCTATTTTGTTTTTTAAATTCAAAGAAATTTCTATTTTAAGCTTGTCTTTGACAAATTCTTTTTTGATATAAAGAAAATTTATTTGTTTCAAACAAATTATTATCTTTGATTCAAAAAAAAAAAAAATTATTTTCGTTTCAAAAAAAATTTTTTCTTTAATTCAAATAAATGTTTCTTTGATCCTTATTATATCCATGTTAAAATTTCTTTGATTTAATGCAAAAAATTTCTTTCATTCAAAGAAAAATTTCTTTGAATCAAAAAAAAATTTTCTTTTGAAACTAAGAAACTTTTTTTTTCTGTTTCAAAGAAAATTTTATTTTTTAATGAAAGAAAACACTCTCTAAATTTGAATTAGTAGAAAAGTTTACTAATTTGAATTAGTGACTCACTTTTTGCTTCTGAATTAGTAAAATTTTACTATAATTATTAGTAAATTTTACTAACAAAGAAGATAGTAAAATTTTACTAATTATTAGTAAATTTTACTAACAATTAGTAAAATTTAACTAACTCAGAAGCAAAAAGTGAGTCACTAATTCAAATTAGAAAACATTTTTACTAATTCAGATTTAGAGAGCAAGTCAAAGAAATTGGTTTCTTTAAATCAAAGAAATCCTTTTATCTGAGTGTAATAATTTAACTTTTGCGATATTATTGCTTTTTTTTTTTTAACTATTATAAAATATTTATTACTAAATGATAAATTTTTTATATTTTAATTTTTTGAAAAAAAAGATGATTTCATTTTTTTTTATTTTTTTAAGTAACCCACGAGGTTTTCTCTTACTTCCTTTTTGGATCATTTTAATCCGTCTCGAATGCCCTCCCTCCACCCCCTTCTCTCTTTTACCCCTTCAATCCTCCCGGAAAGGGTGTGTGCCGTTGTATATCGATTGTCATCAAAGCGCAAGCGTTATCAAAGTGAATGAAAGCTCTCGACTGCCTCGAGTCATTCATAGAACGATATCTATGGTCCATCAAAATTCATTTTCACTATATCTATATATTTATATATATAGCTATGACATCCCAATTGATAACCGCAAATGGGCCCAAAATCAATTTCCTTTAACCTCAACTCCTTTTCTTTCATTCATATAATCCAAGTTTCGATTCAATGATTTTTCTAACATTTATGATTTTTTTAAATAGAAAAAATAAATAAACAAAAAATTGAAATCATTTCTTTTTCAATTTTCTTCCACGGTTTATATTTATTATTATTATTTTTTTAAAAAAATTTTTTTTTTTTAATATCTATATATGACCCACTTTATTTTAATATCTATATTATAGAATTAATTAGAAAAAATATTTGGAAAATTAATAATTCTATTTATATATATATAACAATAATAATATGCCATTGTTTTCTTTTTCTCTCTTTTTTTTTCTATTTATGTATATAAATATAGAAACATCAATTTCGGTGGAGACTTCGACACACCAGACAGTGAATAGAGGAGCGGCTAGGCAAATATACGGAAGTGGAAGCTTGAGACAGACCGGAAGTAGTCCAATCCTTGTGGGAACAACTACAACTCCAAGTTTGCCAAAGGGCAAGGAAAAGGAAGATAATAAAAACTCTATTCGTCAAGAGGACAAACAAAAAGCTCATGAACATCGTCCCGAAGTTGAAGGTATAAATGAATTTCGAAAAAAAAAAAATTTTTTTTTTTTAATTAAATTTTTCTTTTTAAAATCATTCAATCAAAAAAAACTGATAAATCTTATATGTAACTCATAAATTCACTACCGGTAACTCAAAAAATCTCATAGAACTCATAAATCCACTACTAATAACTCATAAATCTCATGCAACTCATAAACACACAACCAGTAACTCATAAACTCCGCAATCCACAACCAATAACTCATAAATCTCATGTAACTCATAAATATACTATCAGTAACTCTTAGACTCCAGATTTCACTGCTAACAACTCATAAATGCACTATTAGTAACTCATAAATGCACTACCGGTAACTCATAAATACACTACCAATAACTCATAAATGCACTATTAGTAACTCATAAATGCACTACCGGTAACTCATAAATACACTACCAATAAGTCATAAACTCCGAAATTTGTTACCATTGACTGATAAATCTCATGTAACTCATAAATTCACTACCGGTAACTCAAAAAATCTCATAGAACTCATAAATCCACTACTAATAACTCATAAATCTCATGTAACTCATAAACACACAACCAGTAACTCATAAACTCTGGAATTCACTACCGATAACTCATAAATCTCATAGAACTCATAAATCCACTACTAATAACTCATAAATATCATGCAACTCATAAACACACAACCAGTAACTCATAAACTCTGGAATTCACTATCAACAAATCGTAAATCTTACCCAACTTAAAAATACACCACCAATAGCTCATACACTCCGCAATCCACAATCAATAACTCATAAATCTCATGTAACTCATAAATATACTATCAGTAACTCTTAGACTCCAGATTTCACTGCTAATAACTCATAAATGCACTATTAGTAACTCATAAATGCACTACCGGTAACTCATAAATACACTACCAATAACTCATAAACTCCAAAATTCGTTACCAGTGACTCATAAATCTCATGTAACTAATAAATATACTATCAGTAACTCTTAGACTCCAAATTTCACTGCCAATAACTCATAAATGTAGTATTAGTAACTCATAAATGTACTACCGGTAACTCATAAATACACTACCAATATCTTATACACTCCGCAATCCACAACCAATAACTCATAAATCCCATCTAACTCATAAATATACTATCAGTAACTCTTAGACTCCAGATTTCACTGCCAATAACTCATAAATGCACTATTAGTAAATCATAAATGCACTGCCGGTAACTCATAAATACACAACCAATAACTCATAAACTCCGAAATTCGTTACCAGTGACTCTTAAATCTCTTGTAACTCATAAATATACTATCACTAACTCTTAGACTCCAGATTTCACTGCCAATAACTCATAAACACACTATTAGTAACTCATAAATACACTACCAATAACTCATAAACTCCGAAATTCGTTACCAGTGACTCATAAATCTCATGTAACTCATAAATATACTATCAGTAACTCCTGGACTCCATATTTCACTGCCAATAACTCATAAATACACTATTAGTAACTCATAAATGTACTATTAATAACTCATAAATGTACTACCGGTAACTCATAAATACACTACCAATAATTCATAAACTCCGAAAATCGTCACCAGTGACTCATAAATCTCATGTAACTCATATAAACACTACCAGAAACTCCTAAATTTACTATTAATAACTCATAAAATCTTAAACTCATAAACCTATGTTAATGCTTAGAGTTTATCACATAACTCAAGAACTCATATATCTAAAATCAGTAACTCTTAAAATATTCATAACGCATAGATATATGTAAACACTCATTGAGTTTCTCATATAACTCATTAATCTTATATAAATCATGAACTCATAAATTTATAACCATTAACTCATAAAATAGCATAAATTTTTCATTATTAAACTCATGTAAATATTCATAAAGTATTTCATATAACGCATTTAATCTAAAATAAATCAATAAACTCATAAATTTATAATCAGTAAATCATAAAGTTTCTTCTATAATTCATAAATCTCATATGACTCATGATCTCGTAAAGTTATAAACTGTAACTCATAAAACATCATAAAATTTTAATTATTAAACTCATGAACTTATTATCAGGTATGCATAAAATCTTATAAATTCATATCGCATAAAATCTTAAAAATCCATAACTCTTAAAATATAAAAATTCATAACTCATAAAATTTGATACCTAATTATTTTACAAAAATAAAATGTTTTTAAATAATTTTTTTTTTTTTGTTAAATACTTCTTTTTTATTTTGCAGAGTACCCTTACGAAACATATGGGGGTTACGGCTATGGGAGTACAGTTGGACGAACACATCAAAAAACTCAATCACAATTACCACCGGGTTTTTTGGGAAATCCAAGATCGCCAATATTCCCTCCAGATTATACACATTCAGATGAATTACCAAGTTTTAGAAATGGAGCGCCAGTTAATGGGTTAGGAGCCCATCATTCTGGAAGAGGGGGAGGTGGTAGTGGTGGTGGTGGTTTTTATGGACCATACGGCGTGGGACAAGGAATTGACAGGGGAAGAATAAGAGGGGTACCTTATGGTGGCTACGACAGTGGAGGTAGTAAATATTTTTCAAAAGAAATTATTTTCTTTTTTTTTTCTTTTATATACGATGTGATAACATTTTTTTTTTTTAAATAGAATTTAGAGAAAAAAATTTTTTTGTTCACTTTTTTTTCTCAAAAACTATTTGTGATATTTTAAAGATTTTTGTAGTATTCGCTTATTTTAGATCTAAAGTAAGTGCCACGAGTATTTTTTTTTAATTTTAGTAAAAAATTTTAAGTTAGGTTTCTGTATTACCGACAGAAGTAGAGTTCTAATTTTTTAGTTGTCGGTTAAAAAAATTATTGAAAATTCATTGAATTCAGGTGAATCTTGTTACTCGGGGGTTTTTGGGGTCGCTGATTACAAATCTGCTATCGGATTTTCAAAATTCAAAATGGCGGATCCAATATGGCGGAAAAAAAAAATTTAAAATCCATTGAATACGCCTGAATTTGGTTGAAAAAATTGTAAATTTATTAAAATCGATTGAAACTCGTCACTCGGGGGTTTTCAGAGTCGCTGATCACGAATCTAGTATCAGATTTTCCAAATTCAAAATGGCGGATCCAATATGGCGTCAAAAAAAATAAAAATCTATTAAATTCGTCTGAATTTGGTTACTCGGGGGTTTTCAGGGTCGCTGATCACGAATCTAGTATCAGATTTTCAAAATCCAAAATGGCGGATCCAATATGTCGGCAAAAAAAAAATTGAAAATCCATTGAATTCGTCTGAATTTGGTTGAAAAAATTGTAAATCTATTAAAATCGACTGAATCTCGTCACTCGGGGGTTTTCAGGGTCGCTGATAACGAATCTAGTATCAGATTTTCAAAATTCAGAATGGCGGATCCAATATGGCGTCAACAAAAAAATAAAAATCTATTAAATTCGTCTGAATTTGGTTACTCGGGGGTTTTCAGGGTCGCTGATCACGAATCTAGTATCAGATTTTCAAAATTCAAAATGGCGGATCCAATATGGCGTCAACAAAAAAATAAAAATCGATTAAATTCGTCTGAATTTGGTTACTCGGGGGTTTTCAGGGTCGCTGATCACGAATCTAGTATCAGATTTTCAAAATTCAAAATGGCGGATCCAATATGGCGTCAAAAAAAAATTGAAAATCTATTAAATTCGCCTGAATTTGGTTACTCGGGGGTTTTTAGGGTCGCTGATCACGAATCTAGTATCAGATTTTCAAAATTCAAATTGGCGGATCCAATATGGCGTCAAAAAAAAATAAAAATCTATTAAATTCGTCTGAATTTTGTTACTCGGAGGTTTTCAGGGTCGCTGATCACGAATCTAGTATCAAATTTTCAAAATTCAAAATGGCGGATCCAATATGGCGTCAAAAAAAATATAAATCTATTAAATTCGTCTTAATTTGGTTACTCGGGGGTTTTCAGGGTCGCTGATCACGAATCTAGTATCAGATTTTCAAAATTCAAAATGGCGGATCCAATATGGCGTCAAAAAAAAATTGAAAATCTATTAAATTCGCCTGAATTTGGTTACTCGGGGGTTTTTAGGGTCGCTGATCACGAATCTAGTATCAGATTTTCAAAATTCAAATTGGCGGATCCAATATGGCGTCAAAAAAAAATAAAAATCTATTAAATTCGTCTGAATTTTGTTACTCGGAGATTTTCAGGGTCGCTGATCACGAATCTAGTATCAAATTTTCAAAATTCAAAATGGCGGATCCAATATGGCGTCAAAAAAAATATAAATCTATTAAATTCGTCTTAATTTGGTTACTCGGGGGTTTTCAGGGTCGCTGATCACGAATCTAGTATCAGATTTTCAAAATCTAAAATGGCGGATCCAATATGGATGCAAAAAATTGAAAATTCATTGAATTCGACTGAATCTTGATACTCGGGGGTTTTTGGGATCGCTGATTACGAATCTGGTATCCGTTTTTCAAAATTCAAAATGGCGGATTCAATATGGCGGCATAAAAAATTTGAAAATCTATTAAATTCACCTGAATTTTGTCATTCGGGGGTTTTTGGGGTCGCTGATTCCGATTCTGATATCAGATTTTCAAAATTTAAAATGGCATATGTAATATACTAAATTTTTTTTTTTTAAATAATCAGTTGTGTTTTTGAATTTTGTTTTTTAAGGGTATATTTTTATGTTTAATATTAGTATAAGATTAGAATAGATTAAAAAATGTATATTTTAAAAATTTTTTCTTTTTTTTTGGGTCTTTCTAGCGTACGAAATGGGTGGGTATGCAGAAGTTGATCACAGCAGAGTACGAAGTGGTTTGACTCGTGGTGGTTCTGGTTCAAAGTTGAATTTCAATAAACGCCTTGGTCAGGATTTAATACCCCTCATTCAAGAATTGGATGACGAAGGCGATATGAAGGATTCCCTTTCTCTAACATGCGCTTGGCTTTGTAATCGAGATCAATTTTTATGTCGGAATTCTTGTACCTGTATCAGTCTCGAGGCACGTTGCGATGGTCAGGTAATTATTAAATATCCCCCACAAATTTAATACATACAATGTGGAGAGAAAAAAAAACACAAACCTTTATTTAAGTTATTTTTTCTCTCTTTATATAAAATTATAAATATTTTTTTTTAAAGAAAATCGATTTTTTAAATAACTTTAATTTATGTTTCTATTTTTATTTTACTTTTACTTTACTTTTTTTACTTTAATTTACTAATTAAAAATTACTGAAATTAGTCGTATTTAAATAAATTTTTTAGTTTTATATAAATAGAAAGAGGGAGAGAAAATATGTTGTTTTAAAATACAAGAAGATTCATTAATTTCCATTGAAATATCACGACTATCGAATATTTTAAAGTCTCTATCTCATTATTAAGAGAATTAATTTTGAAATTGGATTGATACTTCCGGTGAAATTGGCGTCTAGCTATTTACGGATTAATTTTAGAGTTTGTTTTCTGTGCGCATCCGTTCTTTAATAAAGATTTATCGATTTGTATAAGAGAGATAGAGAGAGAGAAAGAGGAAAAAAAAAGAAAGAATTATAATCGAATTTATTCCACTTAGACGGATTGTGATGGCTCCGAGGACGAGAATGAGTGTGATGAAATTTTCGAATCGAAAAATTCCAATGGCACATGCTATGGGGAAAGAAGTGTTCTTTGCCCGGAAACCGGAAGGTGTATCGCCAAACATTGGCTCTGTGATGGGGACGATGATTGTGGCGATTTTTCCGACGAATCTCATTGTGGTTTGTCTATTATTATTATTATTATTATTATTATTATTATTATTATTATTATTATTATTTAATTTTGATAAAAAAAATATAAAGTTACATTAATTTAAAATTTAACAAAATAAATTAAAAATTATTTTGTGATTATAAAAAATGAACAATTTTTTTTTCAGGAACTCACATGAATTGCACTGAGGATCAATTTGAGTGTAGAAATGGTCTTTGTATTCAACAATCTTGGCGTTGTGATGGTGACAATGATTGTAAGGATTTTTCTGACGAAGACAATTGCGGTGGAAAGAGGTAATTAAATTTTTTTTTTTACTTTTTACTAATTCGTAATTATTCCAAGAAATTAAAAAATTAAAAAGAAAAATTATCAGCTAATTAATTTTAATATTTAATTTATTTTAATGTACTTAAATTTTTCAATTAAGGAACGATTTTTATTTCTTTAAAAATTAAAATAAAATTAAAACTTAAAAATAAATACTTAATAAAATTCGTATTTTTAATAACATTTATTAAAAATATCATTTATAAAATTAAAATATCATAATTCATTTTAAAATATTAATTTTTTATATTCCTCGACTAATTTAACATAAAACGAGAAAAAATAACATTAAAGAAATATGAAGGTTCGATAAAAAAAAAAAAAAAAAAATCCGTTTCGACAATAAACTACTTTTAGTTCCTCCATCATTTGTATATAACCCAGTTATTATTATATAGTAAAAGTGAGATATAAGAATTTTTTTTTTTTTTCAGTTATAATAACGTTTGTACGTTTCATTTGCGCAATAAATTTTTCAATGGGAAAAAATAAATTTTTTTTTTTCTTTTTTGATTGGAATGAGTAAAAACGATCGACGAACGATCCTTTTCTGTCAGCACGCGTTCAATATACCCACGCAAAATCTTTTGCCGTCTTGCGTGGGTGACTTTCCCTTCAAAAAAAGAAAAAAAAAAAAAAAAAATTCTGCCTTAGAAAAAGGGAAAGTAAAAAGAAGAGAAAAAAAAAACTGATGGGCAATAAAAATGAAGGTGAATGTAATAAAATACACACGAAACATATCATTAAAAAAAAAAAAAAAGGAAAACTAAAATTATATTATATTCATTCGAAGAGGGAAAAAAATTCAAAAAAACGTATATATTTTTAATATATATAAAAATAGGTAAATAATTTAAATTTTTAATCTCTAAATGTGGCATTTATTTACAATTTTTCGACACGAAAGTAACATAACCTAAAATTTAACAATTTCTCATAGTAATGAGTAGTAACCAAAATGCAACTTTTAATGATTCAAAAATAAAAATTCTTATTTAAAAAAAAAACTACTCAAAATTTAAAAAAAAATTTAAGGTTAAGTAGAAAAAAAAGTGTAAAATTGGAGAGGGGGTAGAAACTCTAATATCTGAACATATTGGATCTTATGAAAACTAGTCAATATTAAATGCAAAAGGGGGGAGGGGGGATTTTGGAAAAAATTGATAACTTTCTGGAATTGAGAGAAAGAGGGGTTGAGGCGGGGGGGGGGGTGATTAGGTGGGTGGAGGGATATTCTCTGATCCAGGTCGCGGAGGTGTGTTGCTAGGCAACACTGATGGTTGCGCGTTGGTGGCGCGTGGTATCGACCACCTGGAAAGCTGTTAGGTTGAAATCAGTAAAATTTTTTGGGGTGTGAGCCCCTTCATAGCGACAACCTGTCTTTATATTTCCTCTTAACAAAAAAAAAAACAACATCTTAATTACCGGAAAAAAAAGAATAGAAAAAAAAAACTTTTTTTTTCCCCCACGCCCTTAAATGCCTATTAAAATTTTATGATGTAATTTCTTCATTTTTTTCAAATTCTTTTCTTTAATTAGGGAAAAATTAAAAAAAAAGATTTTTTTTCCCCCAATTAAATCATATTTTTAAAAAATAAATAATTTTTAAAGAGCAGGTTTTTTAATTGGAAAAAATTTTTATTAATTTGAAAAAAATGTTTAAAAAGCATTTTTTTAATTGGGAAAAAAATTTTATTAATTTGAAAAAAAAAATTTAAAAAACATTTTTTTTAATTGGAAAAAAATTTTTAATTTTAATAAATTTAGAAAGTATTTTTTTAATTTTGGAAAAATTTTTTATTTCCTCTCACATTAAAAAATAGTTATTAATATTTCCTTTAGTATTTAAAAAATATCCCCTTCTCTCTATATGAGAAACTTTTAAATAAAAAAAAACCGCTATTATTTCTTTTATCATTTGGTATTTTATTATTTTTTTTATCATCAATAGAATTCAGAGATGAAAAAAAAAAAATAATTAAAGTCGAGACAATATAAGAGTTAAGAGAACCCTTTTTTTATCAGGGTCGTATAGACAAGGAGAGTTTAGGGAGAGTCCTTTCAGTTTCTAATTTTACAAAATATAAAAAAAACATTGAAAAAAAATTTTTTTTACTAATTAATAATTATTCTATTAATAAAATAATTAAATTTTTTTTGCAAACTCATATTCTAAAAGATTTATTTAATTATTTACTTAATATTAATTTTATATTTTGATTTTTTTTATATATATGAGAATTAAAAAAAAAAAGAATTTTCTATTATTTGAAAATTTAATTTTCCCGCGCCTTGAATTTCGCATTTATTTGAAATATTGAGAAAAATTGTTGTTTATTTGCAGAAATTCTTGAAATTATTTGCGTCCTTAAATAAGAAAATTGAAGGACAAGTCATTAGTTTTGAATGGAAGAGACTTGTGCGTTATATATTATAAGATTGATAAGAAAATATGAATCGGTGGGGTCGCAGGACGTAGGGAATTATGGTTCATGGTCGTTGTTGTCGATAAAATAATGTTAGGTGAGGTCGTGGGGTGAAATTGACCAGGGGTAGAAGAGTATATATTTTTCTTTATATATATCTATATATAGGAAATGCGCTTATCTAACGGATTACGAGAAATCTTTTTCACTAAAGAAATTTCTGCTTTATATGTAATAAATATATTTTTAATGTATTATTATTTATTAATTTTTAATAATAATAAATATATTATAAATATATATAGATCTTAATATCGCCTTGAAAAAAATGTCTTTTAATTACTTTTTATTCTAATAATAAAATAATTATAATTATAAATAACTAATTATAAAAAAAAATTTCTTAACCTTCATCGGTAAATATCAATGATCTAGATTAGTTAAAAAAAAATTCAAATTAAATTTGTTAAAATTATTGTCCAGTTTCGGAAACTGAATTCGATTTCAGAAATAAGATTCTGAGAAAAATGTAAAAAATAGATTCGAAGGGTAATTTGAAGAAAGTAGCATCATTAAAATTTTTTTTTTGTGCATATTATGAGAACACGTTTTTTTTTCATTTCTGAGTTTGACGCCTTTGTTAACAATTTCTCGCGATTTAAAGGGGGTCTAAAAAAGGGGAAAACAACCCTCGGAAACAGATGGTCTACTCACAAAATCATCTCGTCAGTTTTACATTACCTTAGGCGAATTTTTTTTTTCCACACTCGGCACGTGTCAAGTGGTTGTTTTTTTCTCTTTTAAATTCACGAATTCAATGTCAATTTACATATAGACAAATTAATAAGAAAAAAAACAAAATATTTTAAATAAAAAAAATTTAATTTTCTTTCAGAAAATGTAACGATAACGAATTTTCATGTATGGATGGAACTTGTATTTTGAATAACTACAGATGCGATGGGGAAAATGATTGTGCTGACGGATCAGATGAACTCAAATGTGGTGAGATATTTTTTTAAAATAAAAATTGCAAAAAGAGAAATTCTTCTTTCGAGAAATAAATAATCTTGTTTAAAAATAGAATAAAATTTTTTCTATTATAACAATATTTTTATTCATGAAAGTTAAATTTGATATGGAAATATTTTTAAAATTCAGAAATAGCTGAAGTGAATTGTAAGGAGAACGAGTTCAAGTGCACTTATCCGAGGTGCATTTCTCAAGAATATAGATGCGATGGGGACGACGACTGTGGGGATCGAAGTGATGAAGATAATTGTGAAAATCTTGTTGGAGTTAGTTGTAACGCTAATGAATTTAGGTATGAATTTATAATACTTAAATAGGTTTGGTTTTTTTTACTTTTTTTAGGAAAAAAGTATAAAAATTAAAATCTTTTTTAATAGCTTAATTGTTATCAAAATTTTGGATACGCAAAATTTTTTTCTTAAAAAAATAATCTTTTTTCAAGATGTAATAGTGGCAAGTGTATAAGCAGAACATGGGTTTGTGATAAGGAGGCCGATTGTCAGGGTAAAGAAGACGAAGATATGTGTGAGCATCAAACACCAAAGGAATGCTCTCAGGAAGAATTTACATGCTCTACAGGCTCATGTGTACCTGTGAGTTTATTATAAAAAAAAAATTTGCAATAATTATTATTTTAATTTCTACTCACAAAAATAAATAACCATTTTAGCGTCTATGGGTTTGTGATGGAGTGCCCGATTGTACAAATGGAGAAGATGAACAAGGCTGTGCAGTTACTTGTGATGCAACTCAATATCTTTGTAAAAATTCTCAACCAGGAAACGATTCTCATTATGTATTCCATCATTATCATCGCGATTGCATTAGTGTTAAACATGTTTGCGATGGAGTGCCCGATTGTCCTGAAAAAGATGGTAAAAAAATATCTAAAAAAAAACCGAATAATAATAAACAAAATTTTCTATTTTCCTAATCTTTCAGATGAGATGAATTGTCCTCAAAAACGTAATTGCACAAGTGAAGACAAATGCTCACAAAAATGTATTTTAACTGTAGATAATAAAAAAGCTTGTACATGTGATGCGGGATTTATTTTGGGAGCGGATAATGTCACATGCCACGACATCAATGAATGTGAATTCGAAAAGGTTTGTACACTTTAGAAAATTAAGATTTGGGGGAAAAATAAAAAATCTGCTTTTTCAGGATCCGGTTTGTAGTCAAAAATGCCAAAACATAATAGGAACATTTAAGTGTGGCTGTTTACCGGGATATGTTCTTAGACCAGATTTAAGAACCTGTAAAGCCCTAGGAGCAAATCCGACTTTATTATTCGCAAATAGAGTCGATATAAGACAAGTAATAAAATCAAAAAAGTATTCTTTTTTTCAAATCTATATTAATGAATTTTTTAGGTGAGTATGACGAGTCCAAAATACACATCAGTTTTGAAGGGACTTCATAATGCCATTGCTTTGGATTATCATTACAAGAGGAGTACTATTTATTGGTCTGACGTTTCAATGGATGTAATTCGAAAAGTTTTTGTCAACGGAACTGGAGCAGAAGGTATTATTTTTCGCAAAAATATATATATTCCCAAATTCTTGAACAGAAATTTTTCTTTAGATGTTGTTCGATGGGGTCTTCAATCTCCCGGTGGAGTTGCCATCGATTGGATTCATGATCTTCTCTTTTGGACCGATTCCGGAACAAGAAGAGTCGAAGTTATTACACTCGATACAAAAGTGAGACATGTACTTATTTCAAACGATATCGAAAAACCGAGAGCTATTGCGGTTCATCCAAATTTTGGTTACGTTTATTGGACCGATTGGGGTGAGTTTAATTTCTCTTTTTTTGGAGAGAATTTTTTTTTGATGAATTCTTTTTCAGGACTAAATCCTAAAATTGAACGCGCCAATATGGATGGATCGGATAGAAGAGAAGTAATAAGAGAATCAATATTTTGGCCAAATGGATTAACAATTGATTATACGACTGATCGAATTTATTGGACAGATGCAAAACATCATGCAATTGAATCATCTCATCTTGATGGTTCAGATAGAAAGAAAATGATTAGTAAAGGTCTACCACATCCTTTTGCAATCACTGTTTTCGAAGATTTACTCTATTGGACCGATTGGCATTTAAAGAGTATCTCTTCAGCAAATAAGGCAAGTGGCAGAGGATTTAAAACAATTCATTCTGGTCTTCATTTTCCAATGGATCTTCATAGTTATCATCCTCAACGTCAACCAGACTATGCCAATCATTGTGGAAAAGATAATGGCAAATGTTCACACATGTGTCTTCCTAATAATACTGGTTACAGTTGTGTTTGTCCCGTGGGTTTGAAAATAAATCGTGATGGAAAAACATGTGCCAATGTACTTGATAATATACTGATATTCACGAGGAAAAAAGATCTCAGAATAATGCCAATTGAAGAATCTGCAAGAGTCTATGACAATGTGATTCCAGTTGATCATGTTCAAAGTGCCGTGGGTCTTACATGGGATTCGGATGAGGATACGATTTATTGGAGTGATTTGGAGGCTGATACGATCAGTAGAGCTTTTTTGAATGGCACCAATCAAACTGCTATTATTAATCATAATTTAGGTAAATTTTTTTTATATTATCAAAGAATTCGCTTTTGTAACTTGTTAATTACAGAATCACCAGCCGGACTGGCAATAGATTGGATTACGAGAAAGATTTATTGGACTGATGCTGGGACAAAGAGGATCGAATGTGCGAATCTAGATGGAAGTATGAGATCTCTTTTGATTCACGAAGGTCACGATAAGCCAAGGGATATTATTTTGGATCCAACAAGTTAGTAAATAAAAAAATATTAAAAAATAGTTTTTAAAAAATTAAATAAATAACTCTTTCCAGCTGGTTACATGTACTGGAGTGATTGGGGCGAAAAAGGGAAGATTGAAAAAGCCTCTATGGACGGTACAGATCGTAAAGTTCTTTTTGGAACCGATCTCACCTGGCCCAATGGATTAGCTATCGATTTCGATAAGAAGAGACTCTATTGGACCGATGCCGGTACTCAAAAAATTGAATACTCAACTCTCGATGGCAAAGGCAGAACTGCTTTAATTTCCTCAAGTAGGTCGAATTGAATTTTTTACATTTAAAACAATTATTATCAATCAATTATAATAAAATTCTGACTATTTTACAGAGGAAATACTTCTTCATCCATTTGGACTTGTAGTACACAAGGATAAAATATACTGGACCGATTGGAATACAAAAAGTATTCATCGAGCTGATAAAGAAACGGGAAAGAATGTCACTACTATTAGATCGAGTATATCGAGTCTTATGGACGTGAGAGTTTTTCACAGGAATCGAAGAAGCGTTAACAATCCTTGCAAATACAACAATGGAAATTGTTCCCATTTATGTCTTCTTGCTGCGAATCCTAAACGATTCAAATGTGCATGTCCTACTGGTCTTGTTTTAGGGGTAAATTAATAATTTTCATTTGTTGATGACAATAAATATTTACTCATTCTAATGTTAATGTAAATTTAACAGCCCGATGGTAATACATGTCCGGACGTTCCAAATAAATTTCTCCTAATGGCACATCGAGTGGATATTAGAATTGTTTCCTTTGATGTGAATTATGCACTGGACGTTGTTCTTCCAATTTCGAATTTGAAGAACGCTAGTGGTGTGGATGTGAATTTAGTGAATGGCGAAATCTTCTGGACCGATCCTGGAGAAGATGTTATCAAAAAAACAAATTTCAATGGCAGTTTTGTGGAAACGGTGATCAATACTGGAATTGACGTTGCCGATAGTCTTATTGTCGATTCAATTGGCAGAAAGGTATGCTATTTTGTAAATTGATAGAAATATATACGGAAAAAAAAATAATTATAAAAAAATTTTACAGCTCTACTGGACGGATGCCGGTCTAAATAGTATTGAAGTATGTGAACTCAATGGAAAAAATCGAAAAGTTCTCATTTGGTCGGGATTGGATAATCCTCGAGCAATGGCAATTCACTATTCGGCGGGTCTTTTGTTTTGGTCAGATTGGGGACATAATGCAAGAATTGAAAGAGCCAATATGGATGGAGAGAAACGAATGTCAGTGGTTACGGAAAATCTTGCCTGGCCCAATGGTTTATCAATTGATATGGAAAGAGGTAAAATCTATTGGAATGATGCGAAGAAAAAAGTTATTGAATTTGCCGATCTTGATGGAAGAAATAGAAAGATTTTGATTGAAAAAGTGGGACATCCTTATGGTCTCGCTGTTATGGGTAACACTGTCTATTGGAGCGATTGGCAGGAGAAAGCTATTCTTCAAACAGACAAAAATAACGGCTCTGCTAAAGTTTTTATCGATAAGATCGAAAGTGTTATGGACATAAGAGCGATTGTCGTAAGTTTTTTTTAAAAAAAAGTTCTTTTCACTTATTCGAATTGTAGTATGTTAAAAAATTATATTTATTTTTAGTGGTCAGACTTGACAAAATCGGAAAATGTCTGCGAGAATAATAATGGTGGATGTTCTCATTTGTGTCTAAGAAATCCTAATGGATATTCTTGTGCTTGTCCAACTGGAATCAATATCAATGATGATAAAAAAACCTGTAACGTTACTCCAAATAATTTTTTGCTTTTTGCTACTAGAAAAACCCTTGAGAGAATATCACTTGACACACCAGAAATGTGGAGTGTTTCTCTTCCAATTGAAGAGGTTCACAATGCATTCTCTGTTGATTTTCATTGGCAGAAGAAATTGATAGTTTATACTGATGTCAATCTAAGAATTATTAGGTAAACTTTTTGTGAAGTAAATTCTAATTTACAAATGTGAAATTTGTGTTATTTCTTTTCAGGACTGTTAACATGTTTAATTTATCGGACACAAGAACAATTATTTTTGGTTCGAATATGTCGGCACCTTTTGGTGTTGCGGTTGATTGGATTGCGGATAATCTTTATTGGACCGATATGAAGAATAGTTTAATTGAAGTCGCTAAATTCGATGGTACTAGAAGGAAAAAACTTTTGGATAATTTAAAAGATCCTCGAGCTCTAGCCTTATTTCCAAAGGAGGGCTACATGTTTTGGACGGAATGGGGTGATAATCCAAAAATTTTGAGAGCATTTCTTGATGGTTCTAGGAAAGAAACAATAATTCCTTCTGATTTACATTTTCCAAATGGTTTATCCATTGACTATACACGCAGAAAACTCTACTGGGCAGATGCATTGAAAGACCGAATCGAAGTCTCTAATCTTAATGGTCGTTTTCGTGTAGCACTTATCCCAGATGCTGCGAATCCTTTTGGTCTAACTCAAGTAGGTTCTCTTAATATTTAATTAAAAAAAGTTTTAATTCTAATTAACTTAAGAATTTGAGATAAAATAAAATATTTAATTTAGTATGGGGAACACATCTACTGGGCCGATTGGTCTAGGGAAATAATTGAGCAAGCTGACAGGCTCAACGGTCAAAATAGAATTAGATTCCGTCATGCTTTGGGAAGTGTAACTGACGCAAAAGCTGTTTCTGCTGATCGACAAGTAGGATGGAATCCATGTGCGATTGAAAACGGATATTGCAGTCATTTATGCTTTTACACAAGAAGCAGTTATAAATGTGCCTGCCCTGATCAACCTGATTCTCATCCCTGTTTTACATGTAAGATCTTTAATTTTTATAACCGAGGCTATTCTACCTCTTTTTTACTTCCTCCATTGTTATTTATTATTCATCTTTAATATAAAACAAACCTTTGTGAAAATTGTTTCACATCTTCTTATATCCTCCGAGGCCGTATCTGAAAAAAAGAAAAACAAAATTATAATAATTTTACTATAAATTACAATTTTTTTTTCTATTCAAAAAATAGCTCCATTAAAGGAGGTACCACTCAGAAAACCAGGAACAGAAAATGACACAAACTATGATGAGGTAGATGAGGAGGAAGAGGAAGAAGAACTTCGAAAATCTGATGTCGTGACAAAGACATCAATTCGAAATCATGGTGATGATAAATTTAAGGATCATAAATTCAATCGAGAGAAGAGCTATAGTCTGAAAACTGTCGTTATTACAGTTGTGATAATGTTGAGCGTTACATTGGCTATTGTCATATTAATTATTTATCTTCTATGCCAAAGAAAGACAAAGCAAAAAAAATATCTCTACGTAAGCAGAAGAAATGTTCTTACATTTTCAAATCCTAATTATAATGCATCAAGTGGAGAAATTGGTCCATCCAATCAACAACAGGATAAAAAGTCTTTCATATGGAAAAGACTCAAATACGACAAATCTCAGGTATGTTTTTATTATATTGATTTGAATTCAGAAATTTAATTTAAAAATTCGATTTAGTTATAAAAAAATCCTATGACTTGTTGACAAAAAGGCTAAGAAAATTATTAGAAAAAAAAAATACTGTCTTCTTGTCAACAAGAACTTTAGGAGCACTCAGAAAAACCCGTCGTCTTAATCTCGTGCTGTTTTTCCTTTTCTTGAAAACATTGAATTATTGATTAATCCGTCGTGATTGATTATTATTATTATTAAAATTATAGAAAGCTAATTCTTCTAAAGTTGAATGCCCAATCAAATTGCAGCATCTGCCGCTTAACTTTATACAAATGAATGAAACGGAAACTACGTAGTGCCTAAAATGAAAAAAACTTTAATGAATATAATTAATTTTCTAAATAAACAACATATTACGGCAATCGCAAATGAAGAATCTATTTCGAAGTTTAATATCATTCGAAATCTGTATAACGCGTTGTTCACTAAGACAATTTATATTCTAAAGAATTTTTCTGCTCGGTTCCAAGACTATAATATTTATATTTAAAATTGAAGCAAATTCTATATTCTCGTATTCCATTTTTTATATACAATTAGATTTATTAGAATTCAATTGCAGGACATTAGATTTTTATGATTAGTAATTAGATTATTCATATTTATTATATAGTTAAAAAAAATGAGAAATAATTCATTTTCATTTGTTTCTCTGTATGTATGAGAAGGAGAAAAAACTTTTTTCTATTGTTGATAAAAAAAGGAGAAAAAACGAGTTTCGTGATGAGATTTTCATTTCTGAGTACAATAATATAAATTATTTTTATTTGAATGCAAAAAATCTCTTCTCAAAACTCAAAACTCCTTGTGAGATAAATAAATAATTAGGAACTGAAAATTGATGTTCGATAATAGACACTAATAGATTTTTGAATAAATTCAATTTAAATCGTGCAAAATTCAAATTCTTGAGTATAAAATATTTTTCTTAAAGAATTAATTTTCAAAAAAAAAATTAATACTTTTTATAAATCTGGAAAATTTTTGTTTTTAATAAATCTTTTTTGCTTTTTATTTTAATAAAAATTAGTTACAATAATGAGATAATAAAAATATAAAAAAGCTTTCAAGACTGCAAGAATAGAAATTAAAAAAATAAAGTTACAGCTCTAGTACTGAATTTGCTTGGGCGATTGAAATTAAAAAACGAGATTGAAACGAAATTACATAATATCAAAATGGGATTTATAATTTATAAAAAAAAAATTATAAAAATAAAAAAACGATGTTAAAAAAATAATAAATAAATGCGGATCAATAATTCATTGTATTATAGGAGAGAGTGTACGAAGATAATGGGCAGACTTCGAGCCCTGAAGTTGTCTCTTTGATACCCCCTTTGGCGACCCCAAGCAGCAGTCGTGCAGCATCCGTCACTCCCAAGGAATCCTCTCCATCAATGGTACACGTCACACAACAATCAGACAAAAAAACGAAAAAAAGTAAGATGGGCTGTTCACTCAATACTAGTTACTTTTAGAAAATTCGAGATTTTTTGTATTTTTTAAAAACAAAAAAAGCGATTTAATTTTAAGAAAGGTGATATACGTTTAGTGAGAGTGATCATCCTATTTACAAAATAACTTTTTTTGTGTGGTAATGTTTTTTTTAAAGTAAAAAAATAATGAAGAAAGAACAAAGCAATGTTAAAAGAGGTTATAAAAAGTTACTAGAGTTACAAGCAAGCAGGGTTGGGTAGCAACAAGTCAAAAAGAAGTTGATTGGTTCGTTAACTTTCCGGAAAGTTACCAACCAATCAACTTCTTTTTGACTTGTTGTTACCCAACCCTGCTTGCCACTCTAGTAACTTTTTTATAACCTTTTATTACAGTACTTTCTTCATCACTATTTACTTACCAAAAAAAATTAAGAAATTTTATAATTACCGCACAAAAAAAAAAATTTTGAAAAAGTAAATTAAAAAACACACGAAAACAATGAAACGTCGTGCTCAGTCGCCATCTTTCTCTACCTCATCTCCAGATTAGTGGCGCTGTTTTTTTTTTTCTTGTTAAACGCGGGAAATTTAAATCGAATTTTCAAATCCTGCAATTAACAAATAAGTTTCGAATTTTTTGAACGATAACAGGATTCGAAAAAATAATAATTTCAAAAAACAAATAATTCCAATCAAGTATTAATTAATTTTTTTATCATTCCGTGGTAATAAATGTGATTTATTAATTTATTATTAATTATTAATATAAGACGCGTTGCGCTGGCGTCGGAGAATAATAAATTGTATAATTAAAAAAAAAAACATGTATATAACTATACATATTTTTCAAAAAAAAAAAAAACAAAATTATCTGTAGTTTGTCTTAGTGGGAAATTCAAAAAAAAAAAAAAAAAAAAATCTGAAAATAATAATGAAAAACAAAATAATAATAATTAAATGCCGAAGAATATTTCCAACTTTGCCTTTCCTTTTTTTTTTACTTTTCTGTAGTTTGAAAAATTATATGTATTTTAATTCGTATTTTTCTACTAGTCAAAGGTCCAATATATTTTTTCTACTTTAGCAATTGGATTAGTGAATTTGTGATTATATATATATAGCACTGGATGCTGTAAAGATGTGAAAAAAAAACGAAAATTAGGATATTGTTCCAGCTGGTTTGGAACAGACCGACGTCTGCGCAATGTGCGATTAAATAGAAAAAAAAATTGACACCAAAGAAATTCGATTGATCAAAAAAAAAAAAAAAAAACGAAAGCGAAAAAACGATTTTTTTTTAAGATAAAATAAATTTTATCTCTTTTTCTTAAGATTAAAAAAAAGAAATTTAAAAAATAAACAATTTTTTGGTAATTTTTCTTCAAATTATTGTTAATAAAATAATGTATGTTGTTATTTACGATTTTTCATCTTAAAAATGGCGTTGAAAAAAAGAAGAAAAAGAAATTTTTTCAGATAAATTTAAAAAATTTTGAAATTTCTCTGAAAGTAACAGAATTGTGAAAAAAAAATTGTTTTTCCATAATATAATAATGACAAAGAAAAAAAAATTCAGTAATAATTATTATTGAATGTTTTTTAATCAATATAATCTATAATTCCAGTTCAACAAAAAAACGTTACATATTGTTGTAATTGTGTGTAATTTACAAACACAAAAAGACTGTACAAGACATTCGACATTCAAGATTTTCCAAAAAAAAAAAAAAAAAATTTTTAATTGCAAATTAAATTTAAATTTTAATATAATTCGAATTTAAATTATCAATTATATTATTGTTATTATTATTATTATTATTATTATTATTATTATTAATTATAATAATAATAAAATATTATTTTAATATAATATTTTATAAAAAATTTATAATTATTAAAAATTAACTAATAATTAATAATAAATTAATCTAATTTAATTAATGGATACTAAATTACTAATTATATTGTTATTAATTAAAAAATTAATTAATCTTATATAATTATTTTTTCGAAAATTGTAATATATTACCAAAAAAAAGGACATTTGCGAGGTTTAAAGCTCAGGTAAACCGAACAAATTGCCGCGAATTTAATTTAAAATATATTTGAAGAAATTTGATAAAAATTTTTTGGAAAATCTTGCAGAAAAATTGCAATAAGCAATTAACTGTTAGTGTAAATGGTATTAAGAAAAAAAAAAAAAAAGAAAAAATTGAAAATTGAACTCGACCAGAATTTTAGAGAGAGAAAAAAAATAATGTTTAGAGTAAAAATCACTCAAGAGATCGAAGAATTTTAATAAGTGACTTGAGACTAAAATTTCATATATACTTATAAATATAACAAACTGTCCAGAAACGAGCTGAGCTCGTCAAAAAAAATAAAAAAAAAAAAACAAAAAAAAAAAAAATGAAAAAAAATGTTAATAAGGAAGTTCCTCTTTTCACACAATTGACAAAAAAAAAACAAAATCTTCTAATAGTTATTGTAAAATAAAGAATGCAAAATTTATAATTAAAATTAAATTGCAATTTCCCAAAAAAAATTGTAAATTACAATAAAAATTGTAATTTACGATAAAATTGCAATTTACAATTAAAAAATTGTAATTTAATAATAAAAAAATTGTAATTTACGAAAAAAATTGCAGTATAAAATTAAAAATTTACAATAAAAATTTGCAATTAACAATAAATAATTATTTGTAAAAAGAAGAGAAAGATGTGAAAAAAAATTACAGTAATTTGTAATATACAAAAAATTATATAATTTAAAAATAAAAAAAAAATATATATATATATATATAATATATAACTTATACAAAGAATTGTTAATTTAATTATTTTACGCTAAAAAAAAGGAAGTGAAAAAAATAAATAATTGAGTCGCAAATAAATTTTACATCGAGACAGAATTTTAAAAAAATAATCAAAGAAATTCTCAATGTATTATATTTTAAATGTATATTCTTCTTTTTATAATTATAATTAATTATATAATTTAATTATTATTTTTATAGTCAGGTTGTATAAGGTCAATTAATTGGCGTTTCGGAAAAACCCAAATCGGAATTTGTTCACCTGACAATTAGAAAAAAAAAAAAGAAAAAAATTCTTTTCAATTTCGTACGAATTCGAAAATATATTATTCTGTTATCGTTCCGTTTTTATCGAGAAAAAATTTTTATTTGAAAATAAACAACTGTCTCATTGTTCACAAAAAAGTTTTTGCTTCTCTGAAGTTTGAAAAAAAAAAAAAAATAAACTATTTTATAACCTTGAATTTTGATGCCAAATATGGAGAAAATATAACTATCGTTATAAATGTGTAAATAAACGTAATTAAAATAATTTAAAAATAAATACGACAATTACATATAAATATTATATTACGATATAGTATTTAAGAAAAAAAAATTACCTGTAATATTTGTATAGAAGTTTGCGCGTAATTTTAGATAATTGTTTATTATTATTATTATTATTATAAACGTATTTGTACGTTTTGTTGCCTCACAAGACGTGGAAATAAAAAATAATCTACCCTGATCCTATAAAAACAAGTCTTTTTTCTTCTTCCGAAAACACTTTTTATAACCTAACCTAAAATTTTCTACTATTTTTTAACTCACGACACTTTCGACACTTTCTATTTTTTTTTCTCGATATTTTCATTAAAATTAATAAACTACAAAATACTACAGCACTTTTCTTTTTTTTTTATTAAAAAAATTTCCTTTATCTTCTCGGTTACACCAACGGAAATATACTAAAAACTTGACTAACTTTTTGTCAAGAGTGTCTCATTTCTTAAAGGTTCATTCACAATCACTTTCTAGATGCACGAAACTGATTCGTCAGTTCTAAATAGTAATTTTCATTTTCCCCTAGCAATAGCCAATGAAATTGTACCAATCTCATTATTCCAAACTGTGATATCACCGGAAGACCAGTAAATTTTCCTCCCTTTTTTCCCCCACCTTAAAAATATCACCTGACATTATAATTCAAAATGGCGGGAAAATTTGTTTTATTCAAAAATTCCGTTTTTTAAATAGTTTAATAGGTAAAATAGATTGTCTTCTTTATATACAAAATTTAAAAAAATAAAAAAAAAAAAATTTTATCGTCTTTTTTCCAAAAATTCTTTTTTAATCAAAAAAATTTTTAAATAGAAAAATTTAAGGTTATAATATTATAAAATCGTATTCCTTACGTCAAGACAAATCGATAAATATAGTTTTAATTTAAATTTAAAGAATTAATGAAAGTTAAAAAATCAAAAATTCACATTTTGGCTATAAAACTTTGTGATTATTTAAATTTAAATTTATAGATAAAATAATTGTATTCCTTACATGAAAACGAAATGATTGGTATATACAAAAATTTACATTTGAGGTAAATTTAATAAATTAATGAAAAATAAGAATAGAAAATACACAATTTAGCTGAAAAATTGTTTATTTATTTAAATTCAAGTTTAAATATAAAATAATTGTGTTCCTTGTTTAGAATAGTTGTTTTCCTGGAAAATGAAAAAATTCCTTACATAGTCAAATAAAATTAAACAGCATATCGCTATAATTTTTTTACCTTCAAACAACATAAATTACCTTAAAAAAAACATACCAATTGAACCTAAATTGTAAGAGAATAAGAATAATCTATTTTATTCGATTTTTTTAGAAAGAACGTGTCTAACAAAACTACAAAACTTGTACTACTGCTATAACTTATTTATACTACTGAGAAAATTTCAAACATTTAGAGTGTCTGGCTAAATATTTATTAAAACCACTAAAAAAATTCAAAAGTGATTTAAAAGCATGACTCAAGGTCAAGTCAAGGTCGTTCAAGGTCATTTGAAGGTAAAGTCAAGGTCATTCAAGGTCGTTTGAAGGTCAAATCAAGAATGTCTAACTAAATATTTACTTGTATTACTAACAAAATTGCAAACCCGTCCAACTTAATTTTTACATGTACTACTGCCTAGTAATACTACTGAGAAAATTGTTCTACTGCTGAGTAAAACTACTGATAAAATTGTACTACTGCTGAGTAATACTACTGAGAAAATTATTCTACTGATGAGAAAATTGTACTACTGCTGAGTAATACTACTGGAAAAATTGTACTACTGCTGAGTAATACTACTGAGAAAATTATTCTACTGATGAGAAAATTGTACTACTGCTGAGTAATACTACTGAGAAAATTGTACTACTGCTGAAAAATACTACTGGAAAAATTGTACTACTGCTGAGTAATACTACTGAGAAAATTGTTCTACTGCTGAGTAATACTACTGAGAAAATTGTTCTACTGCTGAGTAATACTACTGATAAAATTGTACTACTGCTGAGAAATACTACTGGAAAAATTGTACTACTGCTGAGTAATACTACTGAGAAAATTATTCTACTGATGAGAAAATTGTACTACTGCTGAGTAATACTACTGAGAAAATTGTACTACTGCTGAAAAATACTACTGGAAAAATTGTACTACTGCTGATTAATACTACTGAGAAAATTGTTCTACTGCTGAGTAATACTACTGAGAAAATTGTTCTACTGCTGAGTAAAACTACTGAGAAAATTGTACTACTGCTGATTAATACTACTGAGAAAATTATTCTACTGCTGAGTAATACTACTGAGAAAATTGTACTACTGCTGAGAAATACTACTGGAAAAATTGTACTACTGCTGAGAAATACTACTGGAAAAATTGTACTACTACTGATTAATACTACTGAGAAAATTATTCTACTGATGAGAAAATTGTACTACTGCTGAG